GAGTGGAAGTGAGTGGAAGTGAGTGGAAGTGAGTGGAAGTGAGTGGAGGTGAGTGGAGGTGAGTGGACGTGAGTGGAGGTGAGTGGAGGTGAGTCGAGGTGAGGTGAGGCGAGGCGAGGCGAGGCGAGGCGAGGCGAGGCGAGTGAGCGTGAGTGAGCGTGAGCGTGAGTGAGAGTGAGCGTGAGAGTGAGAGTGAGAGTGAGAGTGAGGGTGAGCGTGAGAGTGAGAGTGAGAGTGAGGGTGAGAGTGAGAGTGAGAGTGAGAGTGAGCGTGAGCGTGAGTGTGAGCGTGAGCGTGAGCGTGAGCGTGAGAGTGAGAGTGAGCGTGAGCGTGAGCGTGAGCGTGAGCGTGAGAGTGAGAGTGAGAGTGAGTGAGAGTGAGCGTGAGCGTGAGTGAGAGTGAGTGTGTGTGTGTGTGTGAGTGCGTGGGCCTGAGTGAAAGAGTGAAAGAGTGCGAGTGTGTGTGAGTGTGAGAGTGAGTGAGAATGAGTGTGAGCGTGTGTGAGTATGAGTGTGAGTGAGAGCGAGAGGCAGTTGGTTGGTAGCAGTTTCTTGGTGGCAGTTTGTTGGTGGCAATTGGTTGGTGGCAGTTTGTGGTGGAAGTTTGTTGGTGGCAATTGGTCTGTGGATGTTTGTTGGTGGCAATTGGTTGGTGGAAGTTTGTTGGTAGCAATTCGTTGGCGGCAATTGGTTGGTGGCGATTTGTTGGCGGCAGTTTGTCGCTGGCAGTTTGTTGGCGGGAGGGAGGAGGAGGAAGGAGGAGCGGATACCACAATAAAAATAAAAACCCCACACGTCAATGTGCGGAAATAACAACAATTTATCAAACAAATCGATGCTAAACAGTAAATCCAGACTCAATTAAACAACATCAATCTAGGTGTGTGTGTGTGTGATCTGTTCTGGTTTTACTTTGTTCTTTTCTTGCGCATCGATTTGTTTCTGCTTTGTGCTTTTCTTGGGTCTGATTCTTAGTCTTCGTTTCTGGTTGAGTCTTCTGTCGTGATCACAAAGATAGAGCAGGGTCGCACTCTGGTGACTCTCCGCACCTCTCCATCGCGGCCGCTGAGCTCAAGGTCCACAAGGTCCAGAAGTTCCTTGAATGCATAGCATTGCTTCGCCTTTCAGAATCCCTTCGAAAAAGGATCGACAAATACAAATCATAATCGCACAACCTTCGTTATCAGATAGGTTGTGTTTGAAACACTGAACAACACAAAGGCACTGAAGGGTAAGAACTAAAGGACTGTGGCTCTTGAGGACCAGGCCTCTGGCGGCAAGACCGCCTTCTCCTCCTCCTGGTTGATAGAAAAGCGCTGCCCAAACCGTAGATGTGACATGCCCTGATTGGTTCTCTTCTCTTTCTCCCCCCCGTCTCTCCTCTGCAAAGGGAGGAGCAGCTGATTCCTTGTAGGGCTCTAAACCTTTTGCGCAAAGAAGAGAAGACCGCAACATCGTCTAAAGTTAAAGAAACCTAAGCCTTGACACGCAATCGTTCGCAAAAATCCGCGTGAGCTGCACACGGAGAGGAGCTTGTCGCCCATGCCCCCCAACACCTTCCTCCTAGCAAAGCTGGATCTTGCTCCTTCCTATCCAGCCTGAAATTCGTGGCTCTTTTCCGGAATCGGTTCTCAACGCCTACGCCGTCCTCCTGCTTCGGCAGCTGAAGGAATACTGGAACTCGAGGCCGAGCCTCGAGCACGATCGGTCAGAGTTCCCCAAAAGGCTCAATTGGCTACTTGGCACTTGACCTCTAGTGAGAGGGGAGCGAGCGCTTGAAGGCGGCGGAAGCAGCGCCGGCCAGAAAGAACCGGCCTTAATACGCTTTCAGGGCGACTGGTTTGTAGTCCAGTCAATGGTACACAATGCTACTGCTACATACAAAAATGTTGCACGTTGACCAGGTTGGTTGGATTGGACAATGGTTCCACAAAGATTTTTGTTGACGTAAGGCCTGTGCCCTAGCACTCGGTGCGTGCTATCAAGTGCTGAATCTGCACCCAGTGTCAACGCCAGCCTCAGAGCTACGCGCTCTGCCTTTGCTCGCAAAACCATAGCGGTGGATGTAAGGCTGCAGCCCAGTCCCACACCGAGGTGCTGTGAGGAGGCCGGCCTAAACGCCCCAAGCGCTGTTCTCAAACAATCTATGCGGAAACAGTGATAAAGTCTGTGGGCCAATGTCGGTACAAGTGTTCAGGGATATGGAATTAGTCAATGTAACTGTTTCCGGAACGCCAAGCAAGAAACCGAAGCTTCTATACTTTCTCGCTTCCTTCTTCGCTGCGATCCCTGGCTCCTGTATTTTCAGGCTCAGCCACAGAAAACTAGTCCATTACCGTTAAAGCTACGCAACTACCGGGGACCCCTTTTATCTCTGAGCTGCAACGCCGCGGTGAGATTTGGTTCCACGCTCACAAAGTGCGATTGGGTAAGACACACGGAGGGCAATAGCTGTGAGGCTAGCGATTCGATCCGCTTGTTTCTCAAGGATGAGTAAAGACACTGCTGTACACACAATCTACGCAGGCCATGCTAGCGCTGATTTCACTTCAGCTGCGGCGCTTGCGCCGTTGGCCACTCGTTCTCGGGCCTGCCGTTCTCCGCTCCATGCGGTGTAGAGGCCCCAACGCTGCCCATCTTCTTGCCGCACATAGCTTCGGGCTCCGGCGTAGGCTGAGCAGAGTGCTTCTTCATGAGCATCTCTCACTCCAGCTGCCTTGGCTTTTGCCTTTGATGGCGCTTTCGACAGTGGCACTGGGGCGCCAGTCGATGGAAGCGTCGGCGGGAACTTGGCCATGGGCATGTCCCGGATGTCGGATGTCAGAAATTACAGATGGCAAACACTGCAGCAGATCCAATTGGCGACACTTCTGTCTCAGGCTCGAGGAATTGGGGCATCCTGATTGACAGGCGCAGCCTTCGGCGATACAAATGGCTCAGGAGGCCTCTGCGCTGAGTCTGCGTCTTTGTTAAATTGAATGTCCCTGTTTGCAGAAGTTTACATTGAATATTGGCTTTCAAAGAAGTAGACTAAAAGTAAGTCTGTGTAGATTTCTACATATTTCTACACATGTTGCGGCGCAGCTCACTATCGGCGTGGGCGATGAAGATTGGCGGCGCATCTTCTTCAAGCACCTTATCCTTCACCACGCCTGCAGCCAATGGAAGCAGTTCAAGAGTTTCATCTTCATCGAGAACTTCATAGTAGTCAGATCGCTCTCTGATTTCCTCGATGAGCAAGCGATATTTGCACTTCGAGGGCGACGACCGAGGCAACCACATTTCCTTATAACGCACCTGGGCCACCTGGGGCGCAGGAGACAAAGGGCGTAGATTCGCGTCTAGCGCTTTCAAACTCCTTGCGGTCTTTCTTGCATTTGCGTCCGCAACGGCAGGAAGAAACACGGTCAAAGTCGAAGCAACGTGCAAAATATGGAACGTGGCATCAAACCCGCTGACTCTCGTTCTTGTCGCAATGGGACATGCCCTGAGCATCGAATCTTGATTCTGATCAATAAACTTCTTGTTTTTTTGATTGATTTTGATTTGATTGAATATATTGATTTGATTGATTTTATTCCCGAAAGCATTGCGAAGGGTTCTTCCGGAAAATCCCTTGAACACTGACACTTCGACACTTACACTTACACACTGACACTTCCACACTTACACACACACGCACACTGGAAGAGCGAAAGCATCCAAGTGCGAAGTATGCCAGTGTCAAAGTATGCAAGTGTAAGTATGCAAGCATGATATGCAAGGGTGAGTATGCAAGCATGCAATGACTATGCAAGCATGCAATGAGTAGGCAAGTGTGAGTATGGAAAACTAGCACGGGAGATGTCCTAATGAAAAAACATTTCCCCACTTTATAAATTCTCTCTTAAAGGCGGAGTGCGGGACGAACAGCGTCAACCGAAAGTGCAACCCTCTGCGGAGATCGTGCGCGTCGAGTGCGCGAAATGCAGGCGAGAGTGCGATTTGCCGGCTGCGCGCGCAACCCTCTGCGGAGATCGTGCGTGTCGAGTGCGCGAAATGCAGGCGAGAGTGCGATTTGTCCGGTCTGCGCGCAACCCTCTGCGGAGATCGTGCGTGTCGAGTGCGCGAAATGCAGGCGAGAGTGCGATTTGCCGGCTGCGCGCGCAACCCTCTGCGGAGATCGTGCGTGTCGAGTGCGCGAAATGCAGGCGAGAGTGCGATTTGTCCGGTCCGCGCGCAACCCTCTGCGGAGATCGTGCGTGTCGAGTGCGCGAAATGCACGCGAGAGTGCGATTTGCCGGCTGCCCGCGCACTCTGCGGAGATCGCGCGTGTCGAGTGCGCGAAATGCAGGCGAGAGTGCGATTTGCCGGCTGCCCGCGCAACCCTCTGCGGAGATCGTGCGTGTCGAGGGCGCGACATGCAGACGAGAGTGCGATTTGGTACGCAACTCTAGTACGCAGAGTAGCTGGGGAGCTGGAAGCGGAGAACTGGCGACGTGGTAGTGCGAGAGTATAGTGCGCGGAGTAGCTGGGGAGCGGGAAGATGAGAACTGGCGAGTGGGTAGTACAACTGGAGGGCGTGGAGTATCTGGGGAGCTGGAAGATGAGCACTGGCGACTCTGTAGTACAACTGTAGTACGCGGAGCTGCTGGGGAGCTGGAAGCTGAGAACTGGTGGCTTTGTAGTACAACTTTAGTACGCGGAGCAATCTGTGGAGCTGGAAGCTGAGAACTGGCGACTGCGTAGTACAACTTTAGTACGCGGAGTAGCTGTGGAGCTGGAAGATGAGAAGTGGCGACTTGGTAAAACAACTTTAGTACGCAGAGTAGCTGGGGAGTGGGAAGATGAGAACTGATGAGTGGGTAGTAGCTGAGAACTCGCGACTTTGTAGTACAACTTTAGTACGAGGAGTAGCTGGGGAGCTGGAAGATGAGAGCTGGCGACTTGGTAGTACAAATTTAGTACGCAGAGCAGCCGGGGAGTGGGAAGAGGAGAACTGGCGACTTGGCAGTGCAACTTTAGTACGCAGAGTAGCTGGGGAGTGGGAAGATGAGAACTGGTGAGTGGGTAGTAGCTGCGAAGGGGCGACTTTACAGCACAACTGTAGTGCGCGGAGTAGCGGGGGAGCTGGAAGATGAGCAGTGGCGACTTGGTAGTACAACTTTAGTACGCAGAGTAGCTGGGGAGTGGGAAGATGAGAACTGGTGAGTGGGTAGTAGCTGAGAACTGGCGATGTTGTAGTACAACTTTAGTAGTGCGCGGAGTAGCGGGGGAGCTGGAAGATGACAAGTGGCGACTTGGTAGTACAATTGTAGTACGCAGAGTAGCTGGGGAGTGGGAAGATGAGAACTGGTGAGTGGGTAGTAGCTGAGAACTGGCGACTGTGTAGTACAACTTTAGTAGTGCGGAGTCGCGGGGGAGCTGGAAGATGAGAAGTGGCGACTTGGTAGTACAACAGTAGTACGCAGAGTAGCTGGGGAGTGGGAAGATGAGAACTGGTGAGT